CAAATAGGGAGCCATATAGCACCAACCAACTTCACAAGGTTCTTGTGAAGTTCCACAGTGGTTAAAAAAGGAATGGACTTTAACTAGATACTAAATGATAGCTGTTATTTAATAACAATTTCACGAATACCTGGATGTTTCTGTTTTGCCATCAGCTCAACTGTAAGATCTTTCTTTTGGATTTCTCAGTCCTTCCCCCCCACCCTGCAATTTTGGACACAGTGCTCATGTTCACCTCCCTTGTCCAAATCAGTCTTCTAAACCATCCAGTTCTCTCTCTTTTCATCTCATGAATCTGTACCTTATTATGCTGATCTCTTACTGTGTTGCTACTCCACTTCTGTACTGCCCTTTTTCTCTTTGTCAGTTCTGATCTGATCTGTAAGAAGTGGAAGGCAAATATTGCTGCCTTTCTGTATAAGCTGAATTTCGTATTTTCTGAATCATGAAGCTGCCCTCCATGTGACCTAGAAAGCCCTTTGATGATCCATATTTAGCTGTATCCATCATTCAACAGATGTCTGGGTAAAGGCCCCCGTGAGCTCCCTCTACATCCTGTGGTTTCAAGTTCCTGAGTTGTTAGTTAAAAGCTTTCATCCCCCTGCCCCGCCACCCATTCAGGGTGGAAGGACAGATACCTGCTTTAGCTATTCATTCATTTGGTCCTTTAGCAAATATTTATTTGCTACCTACTACATGCTTGATTCTGGGCTAGATGTTATCCTCTTTTGCTTCCAAATTGCATTCTTCTAATTTGACCCATTTGTAATAGTCCTTCATCGTTTCTGTTTATTCTTCTAGAATCTCCAATTAACATTCAATGAAACAGTCTTTTCTATCTGCAGTGTTTCCTGACCCCTGGGAGACTTGGCGGCTTAATGGTAAACTCTAATGCCTTGCTATAAAGCACCTGCTGTTACATCTGCAGACTTCAGGACAATCTAGGTGCCTCATGGTTCTAAGGCAGTTTAATTATCAGATGAGGCTGCAGGACTCTGCTTGGCATCCTGCACCACGGTGCAGGACAAAATGGTGGCAAGGGTGGAATGCCCAGCAAGCTAAGTAGGTAATTCCCAATACCTCTTAAGTTTCCTGTGTCCCTGGTTCCCCACAGAGATGCCCATGTGGAATGATGCTGCTCTGCTTTTTGAGCTCTCTGGATCTTCCATTAGATAGCATCTCTTGGCATCTGAAAGGCAGCCTCCCATTCTGTTCTCCTGTGGAACACAGATGGCCCAGCCCACGCCTATCACTAATGAGGATCACATGCAAAGCCTCCTTGCTGGAGGCTCCCTTCAACAACCCAGAGCTCCTTCCCCAAGTTGGCTGGTCACTGTTGACCATGGTATTTAAGCCAGAGAAGACTGTTGGCTGTTCTCCCACTCACAGAGCTGAACAACAACAACAACAAAATGTATTAGGTAGGTGCTGGGAAATAGGTCCCACTCTGGCAGAACGTGAAGACATTGAAGATTAAGGGATAGCTGCCAACTGGATAGCAAGGGTGAGGTTTGGGGATCCAGCTGTCCATGGAGGCTGTTGAGTTTAAATATGAATAAGCACTGGAAGTTCTTCAGTAGGATGATGATTAGATGACTCCACAGAGGTGGAATAGATAGGATATGGATTGTCTACGCAATGTAACTTCACCTAGGATGTTGGTAGGGTGGAAAAAATTATATAAGAATGTTAATGACACCAAAATATAGTAGGAAAAGAATAGATTTTGATGCCAGAAAGATGTGTCAAGTCCTGATCATACTGCTTGCTCTCTGTTGGACAAGATATTTCCCCTTCCTATGCATTAATTCCTTTATCTATGAAATAAGTACAGTAGGCTGTTCTGAGTATTAAAAGGGATAGTACATGAAAAGACCTTGACATAGTAACTGGCACCTAGAAAGCAATGAATGGGAATTCCCTTTCTGTTTTTTTTTTTTTTTATGAGAGGGTGGTACTGGGGATTGAACCCAGGGCCTTGTGCATGCAAGGCAAGCACTCTACCAACTGAGCTATATCCCCAGCCCCAGGAATTCCCTTTCTTATCTCCCTTTCCTGTTTTCTCTCTATAACAAAATGTCCAAATACATTCTCCAATATGGGCAGAACATGAAGTTGAACTAAAAACAATGGCTCCATGTGAACGTCTGTGTGATTGTGCAATCCAAGTTTTACTTAAAATTTGGTTACTATTTGAGGTGTGGGAGAATTTCTCTTTCCTTGCCATTGCAAGTCTGATCTAGGTCTTATATTTGTGAGGGGGGAAAAGACTTTCAAACTGCTCATATGGATCTCCAATTAGGAATGTAAAATCTTTTTTTTTTTTTGGTCTTAATACTATAATCCATTCCTCAACTCTTAGAGCTATCAAGGAGAGGTCACAGCTATCACCAGCTGCCCTTGAGGGTACCAGAGTCTGGTCAGTCCTGCCATATATAAGCCTGGTTTAACTGGACAGTACCCACTGATTTAGAAATCTCTCTTAATTTTTTTTTTTATTATTTCAGTCAGGTGATACCAAGAAATGCTATTCAAAAGGAATTAATAGACTTAACACTGACCTAACCTACAGAAACAGTTTCAACAGCTTTTGGGACAAGATTAGGACAATTACTGCTTGCTCCCCACTCAATCAGGTCAAAGCTTTTCCTGTAAAAGCATGTGGCTGCTCATTCCCACATAAAGGCACACCTTTCACCTCAGCCAGCCCCAAGAGCAGTCATTCAATGGAACAAAATTTCACCTTCTATACCTGGATTCTTTAGATGTGGTTCTGTTCTCTGGAGCTATACAGATGTCGCAGTTGTCATGTTTCCCCTTTAATGCACCCCTTCCCCCACCTTCTGCCCTTCTCTGCAGTCTTTTTCCCATTTAAGGAACAAAATATCCAGATTCATCATTCTTGCTTGAAGATATGTAGAGAGGAACAATAAAAATATAGACAATCACATAGAAAAAAACAAGGAAGAGAGGCTGGAGTGGTGGCTCAGTGGTAGAGTGCTCGCCTAGCATGCATGAGGCACTGGGTTTTATCCTTGGCACCACATAAAAACAAACTAATGTATCCACCTAAAACTAAAGATACATAAATAAATAAATATTTTAAAAAAACAAACAAACAAGGAAGAGGGCTTAGCTGGGTGCAGTGACACTTGCCTGTACTCCCTGTGTGGGAGACCAAGCCTGGAAATGTAGTGAAAAACACCTCAAACAAGCAAGCAAATGCAAAATACCCAGTGTCTTTGATGGAGACTTCTTGTCCTGGAAAAGTACTTGCATGTGCCCATTTCCACTGAGAACTAACAATACTACTACCGCTACCAGTGAAAAATGGTGGTGTTTTCTACTCTACAGATGTTGAGAGTAAAAGAATGTCCTGGTCTTTCCTGTGAATTCTCAACATATCTCTCTGTATCTCCTGGAAGGGATCTAGTATTGACCATAGACCTTTTTCTTCATGGAATGCTTTATGGATACTAGTGTTTTGAGATGCATTCTAGGAAATTATGGTTTCAGATATACTGTAAGGACTGAGACTAGATGTTTGACATGAGTTCAATCTTAGGCTAGACTGATTGATTACTGTTGGATACTGAAATTGGTGGCTTACATGGATCTTTCCTTCCTTGTAGAGTTGGTAGGCTCTTCTTCCTTCCCCTTAAGGTTAGCATCAGGCACCCACCTGCCTGGGAGTGTTGAGGTATAGGTCTGTGACATAGGGAATCTGGGAATCTAGATACTTCCCCTCCCCAGGATTCTATTTTTGTGGATCCCGATTGTGGCAGTGTTGTACGGAAGGCACAGCCTCGTTGGGACAGGAGGTAACTGAAAATTTTGGCCAAGAAGAGAGGGGGCTAGAGATGGGAAAAGTTGATGCAAGTATTTTTGGCAGGAGTTGGAACCAAAGCAGCAGGAGAGTGTAAGTTTTAAGCCTCTCTGGCAAAGTAACTTCCTAATCTGTCACTGAGTATGTGTAAAAAAGTGATTAGTGGGTCTCTATATTTATCATGATTACTCACAAATATGTAATTTACATAATATATACAGCACATTAAGTACTATGTCACCTTATATAATGTGCATATGTATAATGTATATGCATGTTATGTAACGCCAGTCTGGAGGCTCTTCCCGGTTCTGCCAAGTATTTCCTAATTTATTTGGCAATTTTAACGTATCTTTTCCATCTGTGGAAAGAACTCTCTTAAGAGGAACTGGTCTCTGACCTGAATATAATCATCCTGCTAAGTCTATCTCCACTTTCAATTCACTGGGGAAACCCCACAAAGACCAAGGCATAATGAGACGCAGCTCCCAGCCCACTGGTCCAGGGATAACACAAAGTACTGACGATTTCCTGTTTCACTGTTTTTATTGCTAGTCGGGTGGAAGCATGAAGGCAGGTGAGAACATGTCTGTAGCATGGTAAGAATCAGAATAAGACAAGAAATAAGAGACTGGGATCTTCCCTGACTACCTGTATGGCTTTGGAAGTCACTAAACCTCATCAAGCCTCCTTCTCCTCATTAGGATTGAGATAATAATACCTTCTCTGCTAACCTCGGAATTTTCTGTGGGGGTCGCTACAATGAGGCACTACTCCACAATAAGAAACCAGTCATGTTGTTTAAAAGATGATTTGCAAGGCAAAATTTAACAGCAACACAAGACTTGCTAAGGCTACCACATCAGAAGCGCAATTCCATTCAAGTTCTTTATACACTGTGCCTCTAAGGAGGATTGGGGTACATCTCTCAAGCAACATTAAAGTCCTAGGCACTAGGGTAAAGCAGGTAGGAGCCAATTCTGCATGTTCCCTTTGTGACTTGTGAGACTCTGAGAATCAATTTCACCTGTCGTTGGTGCCATGTCTCAACAGCCTCAATCTTGGGGAATGAGGGCTGAAACATACACAAACACTTCTGTAAATGTCTCAGAATCAGTGACCCTAAACCTGAACCTGCCTCACTTTCAGAATCAAGTTGCTTCCAAGATAGTACCTGTAGTCATTCTGGAGCTTGTTGGTCACACCACATAGGATTCCATCAGTAAGGATATTCTTCAGGTGACCTGCTCTTCCCCTTGCTCAGCATTTCTGCACTGTTATTTGCGCAGGATGGTCTCATATCTCAGTCCAAGATGGTCCTAGAAGATTACTTCCTTCAGAGGTGGGCTCCATTTGTGCACATTGTCTTCCTTGTCCAAAGCTCCTGGCCCAATGCAAGGAGATTAAAAGCAGCTCATTGGAATGATGTCAAGTAGCTCATATTTTCTCTTGAGAAATCTGAGAGAATGGAAGTCCCAGTGAGCTAATGGGTACAGGAACTGTTGTTTTCCACCGATGAAGTGCTGCATAGTTGCCCTTAGGAAGGGGAGGTAATGCCGGAGCCAGGTGAATGAAGCCAACTGAGCTCTGCTGACACCCCTCTGTCCTGGCTGGTAGCACCTTGCAGAAGGTGCCTCAGTCCTGCTTGTGACTTTTCACTGTGGCTTTTCCTGCGGCCAAAGTGTTTCCAAATGAAGGGATTCTGGTGACCATGATGAGGAGATATGTGGAGGGTTCAATGTGATGATCTGTCTCATGTCTTCAACTTCAGACCAACTTCTCTCCAGGTTAGGTCAGAGAGAACTTTTGGAAGCACACCAAGGCCCCGATCTCTCACCTGGGGTTGTCCCATCCACACATATGCTGCATGCTCATTTTCCCCTGGCACCCTGGATCCAAGTGGAATCACTTCTCAGAGACCAGAAATGACCCTATTCCCAGCTGTGTGGGTTCTTTCCTCTAGTAATTGTCTTCTTAGTGGCACCTACTCTCAAAACACATTAGCCAAGAGACCATGGAGCTGTCTCTCTACTTTTCTCTATTTCCTTATCTCACAAATGGGAGAGTAAACCTGCCCAGCATATCTTTCATGGCGGTTTTGATGATCCAGAATAGGAGTTCTCTTCACGACAAGGACATCCTTCCATTTCCCTTAAACATTATGATCAGCACGAGGAAAGGTGTTGACAATGAAATGGTGGAAGGTTCCTTTCCCGCTTTCTATTCTTATATTACCTGTGTTTATTTCCAATCAGAAAAAGTCCAGCCGTAAATAAATATTTATATGTTATATATAAATATATATGCTACATATATACACACATAAGACCATGAGAAGGTCCTTCAGGTCAGAATCTGAGGGTGGGAAGTGCGGAGAGGTGATGGGAACTGCCTGATGGACTGTCTTCCTGTCCCCAGCACAGTCCTGTCCTCTCATCTTCTCTGCCTTCGGGAAATAGTCTGCCACCAGGGCTCGGAACTCAACAGGAAACACGCTTTGGCTCAGGAAGAAAAGAAACTGGGGGTGTTTTTTTTTTCTTTCCCTTTTTATACAAGATTATGACACCAGTTTAAAAAATAAATCCCAGTTTCTCCACTTTCCCTCCCAGGTGTTCACAGAACTAAGAAAATAAATACCACATCTAAGGCATGCTGCACAGGCAGCTCAGGGGGCTCTTGGAGCCGTCTCTAAACAAACACCCAGCCACCAGGAGAAGGCTTGGGGAAATGAACAAGTGCCCACCGATGGGGTAGAGAACCCAGGAATGGAAACACAGCTTTCCACAGCCTTCCTGCCTTCTCAGCAAGTCTGGGGAGAAGCTGTCGCTCAAAGGACAACCAAGAGACCATCGAGCGCCTGCTGAGCCCTGCCAAGGATTATGTGCAGAGAGCTCCAGGCTGGTATGTCTCTGTACAGAAGGACCTTTGTGCAAGTTCTCTGGAACGGAGCTCTTTCCCTCCACCACATCCGATCTCGTCTCACCATACCAGGAAACCTGCAGCCTGCTCCTCACGAGCAGCGAGCGACTGTGAGGAAACTTGTAGAGCTGGTGAAAAGAAAGAGATTTCTCCTTCAGTCTCAGAAAGTTCTCCCCAATTCCCCAAGGCCTGTGGGAATTTGGAGGTCGCTGCATGAGCCAACCCACCCTGGTGGGCCTAAGTCTTTTCAAAATGTTCTGGGCACTGGCTCTGTTAGGGATGTATCCATTTTTTTGAAATAAACTGTATGGAAGGTGAAATTTTCTTCCAGAAGGGTAGTTTTGCTTCCACTAATTAGAGAAGTGTGTGTGTGTGTGTGTGTGTGTGTGTGTGCGTGTTTGTGTAAGTGTGTGTGTATGTGCATGTAGTTACAGTCTCTTGTTTTCTCTCTTGGGTTAGCTGGCGTTTGGCACACTGGTTAGTCTTTTGAACGGCTCTTCCTCCTCAGTGAAAAGAAGCTGCTCTTCTGGGGAGGTCCCATCATCATGGGTGCTTGGTTCTTGTGAGTAATTTTAATCTAAAAGCAAAGAGGCAGAAAAGAATTAGTGGCAATGCAAATTCTAGCAGCCTAAGGGAGAACGAGTTGCAGAGAGGAAAGGAGGCCAGCTTTGGACTGGAAGGAGCCCCATGCAGAAGGACAACTGTCCTTGAACGGCTTCAAAATTGGCAACTTGACCCTGACTGGGCCTGGAGCTTGGCACTGCTGGAAGTGAGGGGCGGAAACACTGGGGAGAGACAGGTGTGAGCTTCCCACGTGGTGATCAGCTCGCACCTGTCTCGTGTCCTTTCTATTCATAGACTGTCAGAATGTCACAGCCGGAGGAGACCTGAGGGACCTTCTCATTCAACCCCTCTGTTGGACAGATAAGAAATGGGAGCCCAAGACTTCATGGGGTCTTAGATTAGCCTAAGTTCATGCATGGAGGAGCAGAACAGCCAAAGCCCAATTCTTCGAATTCCCAGCCTCCACTCCTGCCTGGGCAGCGGACAGACTCCGCCAGCTGACCTGGAGGCTTCCGTTTGACCTCTGACCAAGTCACACCATATGGACAAGTTCCCAAGTGAGTTCTTTAGGTGTTTTTCTCATAGCCTCTGGGGAAGACCCTATTCTTTTAAAAATATTTTCAAAAATTTTTAGGATTTATACTTTTTTTTCCTCCCCTGTAAACTGTAAGTTAATCAGAAGTAAAAGATTGATTCTCATTTGTGTCTTTCTTCTCACCCTTATCCTCAGGGCATGGCTTCAAAATGTTTAATCCCTATTTGAATGTGGCCTTGTGACATTGCTACCTTATTTATCTACATTATTAGTCCATCAACAACATTTATCAAGTATGACACATGTTCAGAGTGAGCAGATGACATGGGGACAGGAAGCAACTTGGAATTCAAAGACCTGTGTTTGGGTCCCAGAAGTTCTACTTCTTTGCTGTAAAACTTGAGACAAATCCTTTAACCATCAGAGCCTATGCTTGCTGAACTCTAAAATGAGGATAAACCATTTGTCCTATTTTTTCCCCACAAAGATCATAGGATAGACTGTCAATGAAAGTCCATTGTAAACTTTAAAATGGAAAGCATGGTTAGTTAAATACATATTGTCGTGTGTTGGTGAAGGAGAAAAATGGACGTTAAAAGAAACAGAATCTATGAGCCCATGAATCTATGAATCCAATCTTGTGGGTTTTTTTTTTTTTTTTTTTTTTTACCACATTAGTGGAAATGACAGTGTGACCACAGAAACAGAATTCTTGAAGTCAGAGACAATCTGTCAATAAGCTTCAATTAATGTAGGATAAACCAAGCCATGTCAAAAAGAAGTTAGGGGAGGAATGAGAGGGAGTCTGATAGGAACAATTAGGGAGAAACTGTACTATTTGAAGGAAGGGAAGGAAATGAATTGGTGAAAAGAGAAAGAGAGGCACTGGGTAGAGAAACCACCTGTGAACAGGTTGAGTAGGGGCCAGAGCATGGGAAATGTGGTCAGGGATACAGTGGGGCAGGCGGTTGGGAGAGGATTTAAAAGGTGAGGTGGCAGGGTTGGGTTCACGTGAGGTAATAAGAAAACATGAAAGACAGATGAATAAGAACATGATGAGAAAAGGGTTCAAGGGAAATTTTCAACAGCTGTTGTCAAAAAGAGCTCAAGTGGGAATGTCTGGCTAAGCCAGTTTTATGTTTATAAGTCCCCAGGCAGAGAAGGAAAGGATGGAACCAAAGGCATGGCGGACATTAGCACAGCCTGGTGATGGAAATGGAAAGCGGTCCTCGGGGTTGGCTTCCCCAACCTGGAAACTTCAAAGGGGAGCGAGTCCTGTTCTGTGGCAATCACCCGAGGAGCAAACCAAGAATCCATCCAGCACTATTTTCTGTTGTATGTCTCATTGTGGGCATTATGATTGTTCCAGAATTCATGCAAGTAAGGCATATAAGGGGAACGCGCACAATACTTATCGGTGGCATGCAATTTAGCAATCCCAGATGATAGTGATTTGTAGCACATTCCCTTGGGGGGAGTCTCTCACTTTTGGGCTCCTGTGCCCCTTGAGGGGAAGGACTTCAGCTTCCATGCTTTGTCATTCCCTAAGCCAGGGCAGAGCCTGCTCAGAGAACAGGCTGTGCAAGTCCTGACTGATGAACAGGACCAAGAGGAAAAATGGTGTGTCCTGGAGAGAGCTCTGCTTGGGGCCAGGGCAGCTGCTGGTGCACCACCTACATGTCCTGCTGGTGGAGTCCATTTTTTTAGATGATAGAAGACCTTTGCTTCTCCTTTCTGTGCCTATAGCTAAGCTATGTGCTTGCTTGTTAGCACCTCTAAGGCAAAGAGGGGGAAGTGAAACTCAAATCTCTCCCATTTGGTTTTTCAGCAGCGTTGACAAACATTTTGACAGGGTAGGAGTTTGTACTTCTTGGGTAACAATGATATTTTGGTCAGATTTGTGGATTATATTAGTATAGATAACTGAGAGAAGGATGAGAACATACCCTCATTTTGGGCCAAAGAGATGTCAGTGTTTTACAGTGTTTTATTAGGAAGGGCTAGTGGGTAATATAGATCAGATCCCACTTTAAGAGGCAGTTTGGAATGGTTAAATTATTCAACCCATGACAGAAAAAGAGCAGCCCACATTTTTGTAGTTAAAACTCAAACCTCTTTGGTAATTGGTCGGGTCAGGAAAATAATCTCCATGATTTTCTAAAGAGTCATTCATAGCACTCACAGCTTCAGACAAGCCCTAAGGACAGCACCCCCATGTTGCTAGTTTTCTGCTCTATTAGAGAGAATTGATCCAGCAGACTCTTGCATGATAAAAACTCACAAAATTACCTCAGCCTATAATAGAGTAAAATTTCAAACCTCACAAGTGTTGGAAGTTGACTTGGTAGGGGGAGCATTTTCTATAAATCAACACATTTTTATTACTTCAGAAAAAGCAATAAACTAAGGGACCTCTTCCTGAATGTTGCCCTCTTGGGGTGAATGATTCAGATCACACCTAATAAAATGGCCAATAACCCTAAGTGTGGATCCTTCCCAAATCAGGCTGGCAAGTGTCCTATGTCTGCCCTGATTTCTGCTGGAGATAATTAGAAGGAACCAAAAAAAAAAAAAAAAAAAAATTCTTGAAGGATTTGAAATAACCTTTGTGATATTTTAAAAAGTTAAGGTAATATTTCTTCTTAAAGTAGGTCTAGGGGAGGAGGAAAGGGTTGGTATCATCTTCCAGGTCTTGGCTATTTCTGGGTTCTCCAAGATCTTAGGACATCCTGCTTCATGAGAGTGTCTGCTGCCACCAGAGGCCTTCAAATGCAGCTGGACAATCAGGTTTCACAAGAGGTGGAGAAGAAGCATGGGATTTATTAAGTCAGTAATTTCAACTAGATTAGAGGTTTCCAAAGTGTGTTCCCTAGACCAACAGCATCTCCATTGCCTTGGAATGTGCTAGAAATGCAAATTCTCAGTCATCTAGACTCCTGGATTAAAACACACATCTGGAATGTAGCCCAACCAACCACGCGGTGGCACATGCTGGTAATCCCAGTAGTTTGGGAGGCTGAGGCAGGAGGATTATGAGTTCAAAGCCAGCCTCAGTAACAGTGAGGCACTAAGTAACTCAGTGAGACTCTGTCTCTAAATAAAATACAAAACAGGGCTGGGGATGTGGGTCAGTGGTCGAGTTCAATCCCTGGTACAGATAAAAAAAAAAATCTGGAAAGTAATCCAGTAATGTATACATTAAAACCCTTCAGGTTATACAGGTGCTTACTGAACTTTGGGAATCAGTGAACTGAATAACTGCAGGCACTTTCAGCTTAGAGGTTCTACTGTCATCCAACACTGGGAAGAGATTCTATATTTGAGACTCAAACTATGCCACCTAACTGGGATGGTGAAGAGATACTAGTGAAGAGATAATCTTACAGTACTGCAATTGTAAGACAAATTGTCTTAATAAATATATACTTTATGTCCATATATTTCTATGTATAAACAGATTTTTTAAAGACTTTAGGAAATATGGAAAAAAGTTTAAAAATCAGAGGTAATAATTATTAACTTCTTTGTATATTGTTTTTAGTTTCTATGCCTATGTGTTTTTAATAAAACTGAAATCAGTTTCTTAATTGCATTTTTATTTAACATTATTTTGTAAGCATTTCTAATATCAGTGGATATTTAATTTTAAAGATTTTATTCATACTTTATGTATATATGTATTTTTGTGGTGCTAGAGAATAAACCTAGGGCTTTCATATACTAAGCATGTGCTCTACCACTGAGTTATTTATTAAATATGAATTTTCAACAGCTGAAAATAATTCCATTTGATGAATCTCACATAGCTTATTTAAACCTCTTCTTTGAATATTGGGCTTTTAGGTAATTTCCATTTTTTTTTGCTATGATGCATGAAATAGAAATTTACATACATCAATGTCTGTATTACATTTAGACTAAATTCCTACAAATATATGAATAATTTTTAAAGGGTGAAAGAAAATGAACAGACTCAGTATGCATTACTATTTATAATGGTTTAATGGTTCTTCTTCTTCTCCTTCTTCCCCTCCTCATCTTTCTCCCCTCTTCCTCCTCCTCCTCCTCCTCCTCCTCCTCCTCGAACTAGGGTTTTAACCAGGGTTGCTTAACCACTGAGCCACATCACCAGCCCTTTTTATTTTTTATTTTGAGACAAGGTCTCACGAGGTTGCTTATAGTCTTGCTAAATTGCTGAACTCCCCATCCTCCTGCCTCAGCTTTCCAAGCTGCTGGGATTACAGGTGAGCGCCACTGTACCTGGTTTGTTATGGTTGTTCTTGATGCATGGCTCCAGATGCTTTTTAGAATGGCAGCACCAGTTTGTACTCTTGCTAACTGAGTGTATTTGTCTTACCACACCCTTGATAGCAATGAATATTTTCTTACTAAATAGTAAGTGAATAGTAAGTGAAACTTACTATTCTTATTTCTTGCTAAGTAGTAAGTGAAACATGGCATGACTTTCCTCACTGTTA